GAGGAAGGGAGGAAGGGAGGAAGGGAGGGAGGAAGGGAGGAAGGAAGGGAGGAAGGAAGGAAAGAAGGACTGGGGATATTTAGCTAGGTGATGTGTAAGGCAGAATATGGACCAGTTAAAACAATAAACAACTCTGTGAAGAGGAATTCCCAGTTGATGAATCAGTTACCCTTGGCACATGGTTCAGGTTACATCTAATGCAGAAAGCCAGATGATTAAGTGATACGTGGAAAAGCCTGTTGGTTCCTAGATGAGAGGCCAGGACAACAATTTAAAATTCCACAGACTCTAGCTCTCCAGCTGCGATGAGCAGCATCTTCAGCCGTAACACCCCTGCTGTTTAGACCTCGAGCCATTCGCAAACACAAAGAGCTCTTATACCCAGCACTGAAAGTTTTAGATCCAATTGAAACTTCTATCCAGTTCTTAAAACTGGCTTCGATTTGACTACTTTGATAAAGTCCATTAAAAAAACACTCTCGGGGCGCCTGGGTGGCTCAGTCGCTTAAGCGTCCGACTTCGGCTCAGGTCATGATCTCACAGTCTGTGAGTTTGAGCCCCGCATCAGGCTCTGTGCTGACAGCTCAGAGCCTGGAGCCTGCTTCGGATTCTGTGTCTCCCTCTCACTCTGACCCTCCCCTATTCATGCTCTGTCTCTCTCTGTCTCAAAAATAAATAAACGTTAAAAAAACTTAAAAAAAAAAAAAACAAAAAACACTCTCATAGTAGCTCCCATTTTTAAAAGGACAACTGTCTACACTCATAAAACTACAGATTGATTCCTTTTTAGGATACATAATTAAAAAACAGAAACTATCAGGGCACCTGGATGGCCCAGTGGGTTGAGCATCCAAGCCTTGATTTCGGCTCAAGTTATGGTCCCAGGGTCATGGGGTCAAGGTAAGCGTGGGCTTGTGCTAAGCGTGGAGCCTGCTTAATATTCTTGTGTGCTCTCTCTCCCTCCCTTCCTCTCCCAAGCTCTCTAAAATAAAGGTAAAATAAAATAAAATGGGTAATTAAAAAATAGAAACTATAATTCTATTTAACAAACTGTCCCAGTAAAGAGTATCCAGTCTTAACAATCATTTACTCTGTCATATTACAGAAAACATTAAAAGTCTATGTATAGCTAGTTTTGTTTTCTTGGCCTTTGATTCAGTGGACAAGTACCAGTTGTGGAATAGACAAGCTTATAGAAAATGGAAATTATTAAGTTATTAATATTCTATTAAGAATGTTAAAAGACAATTAAGTTAGAAATGTTTTGACAGCATTTGTTTCATTTATTCTGTTGACCTAACACCAACTTTACATAAACTGTCATCACGATAATTTTCTATTTCTACTTCTGACATCAAAATTGGACCTGATGTTCAATGATAGGCTTTAAGCCAGAAAAGGATGATATAGTGAAATGAAGTAAAAAACAAAACAAAACAAAACAAAAAAACCCTCACTACCTACTAGCTGCCATCAAGAATCTCTATAATTTATTTGAAATACAGAATTCACTTAGTGAAAAGATAAAGAAACTGAAGTTTCATTTTCCACATAAGGAGACCTCAAAAACCCCTTTCAGGTGTAAAATTCCCTAAAGTCAAAAATTCAGTATAAATTTATAAATATATAAACTATATAAATCCTGAAAACACTAGGTTCTCCCTTAATTTTTACAAGTGAACAGAGAAACTGAGATCCATATACAATTCTCAAAAACAAAGATGTTTACAACCACCTCTACTTTTTTTAAGTGGAACAAGTGACTACGTTCCTCTCTCCCACCCTCCAGCACATCCAAGGACCATGATGTCCTCATAAAAATGTACTCTATAATTTGTAAATACTACTATGAATGGATGATAGGATTCTCATTTTATACTATTTAGCCAACTAGAAGAAATACTTTAGGAAATAGAAGTATTTAAGAGTCAACAGACTTAAAAAAAAAAAAGGCAATAACCTTTTGCTCTAAAGATGCAAAAATCAAATCAGTAAAGAGTAGAAAAAAATGATCACAGGAATTTAAATTTCCTAATATGGCAGCAAACCAAACTAACAGTGGTGCTAGGGTGACCATGGTCACTATCTGCGCTGGAAAGCATAGCAACTGGAAGCAACATCTCTGAGGAAAGGAACAATCATTAGAGGAGCTGAATCAATAAGAGAGACAACAACAGAGAAGTGTACAGATTGTTTGGTTTTTACCTAGATCTGCCACAGTTCCTCCTTTAACAGGTGTATTTTCACTATCTTTCTTTGGGTTCACTAGAAAGAAAAAAAAGAGTCATGATTTAGGGGGAAAGTTCTACTTTTTTAAAAGAAGAAAAAATAAAAGATGATTAAAAAGTACATGAATCTCATTGCAAACCACCACCATCCAGTGTTCACCTTCATGAAAAACTGTAAATCTGATTAAAAAAATACTAACACTTAATATAAGACTGCCATTTTGCAATTAATTACCCAAGCATCAATTTTTTCATGATAAAAGTACACAATACACAAATATAGAGAGCAAAACCTGAAAAGAACCTTTCAATCCCTTCCCCCAAAGTATTTTTTATTGCATTTTCTGTGTGTTTGTGGATTCCCATTTTTGTGCCATTCATTTAGGTAAATAAACTCAGGAAGAACGGATACCTATTATATATCTCTGTAAACTTCAAAACCTGTATGAGGGGTTTAGGGGCTCCTGGATGGCTTGGTCAATTAAACATCTGACTTTTGGTTTCAGCTCAGGTCACGATCTCACAGTCACAGGATCAAGCCCTATGTCCCACTCCATGCTGAGCGTGGAGCCTGTTTGAGCTTCTCTCCCTCACTCTTTGACCCTTCCTGTTCATATTTTCTTTCTCTCAAGGTAAATAAATAAACCTAAAAAAACCCACAAAACCTGTATGAGGGGTTTAAATCTTACAGCTCTGTTATCCATACTGTGCTTCTTCCTTAGCATTCTACCCATGTCATTCAACTGTGTGCCTATATGACCATTCCATGTTAAGTGTTTTTAGTTACATTTATAGTTAAATTATATACAACTATTTCATTTAAATGAAATGAATCCACTGTGTCCATGGATGGGTCATACATAAGGTAACCAGCCCTATATCGATGGCAACTGTTGTTTATTTTCAATTTTTCACTATTACATAATCCCCATCCTCTTACATTCGTCTTTTTTTTTTTTTTTTTTTTTGAGAGAGAGACAGAGTATGAGCGGGGGAGGAGCAGAGAGAGAGAGAGAGAGAGAGAGAGAGAGGGAGACACAAAATCTGAAGCAGGCTCCAGGCTCCGAGCTGTCAGCACAGAGATCAATGCGGGACTTGAACTCACAAGCTGTGAGATCATGACCTAAGCCAAAGTCAGACGCCCAACTGAGCCACCCAGGTGCCCCATCTTACATTCATCTCTAAGCGTGCCTATAATTACTTAAAATGGGCTCTGAAATTAAAACTGCTACTGCACGTACACATTAAAATTGAACAAATAAACTGTGTTAAGTGGCTTCATTAATTTATACTTCTACCAACAGCATCTGAAAATACCCACTTTCTCAAAACATCAGTACTCTGTGAATCATCTATTTTCTAAGTCTGGAAAATCTAATAGATGAAAAGTGTTACTTTAATAATTTATATATCCTTAAGAGAGGTTGAGCATCTTTCCACACATTTAATGGCCCTGAAATTTGATAAAATTACCAGTACATACTTTGCCCTTAAATACAAATCAAAAACACATTGAGATACCACCTCACACCGGTGAGAGTGGCTAACATTAACAACTCAGGCAACAAGAGATGTAGGCTAGGATGTGGAGAAAGAGGAATCCTTTTGCACTGCTGGTGAGAATGCAAACTGGTGCAGCCACTCTGGAAAACAGTGTAGAGGTTCCTCAAAAAGTTAAAAATAGAACTACCCTACAACACAGCAATTGCACTACTAGGTATTTATCCAAAGGATACGGGTGTTGACTGAAAGGGGTACATGCACCCCAATGTTTTTTGCCAGTGCTATTGACAACAGCCGAAGTATGGAAAGAGACAAAATGTCCATCGACTGATAAATGAACAAGATGTGGTGTAGGGGCGCCTGGGTGGATCAGTTAAGCGTCTGACTTCAGCTCAGATCTGATCTCACCATTCTTGAGTTCGAGCCCTGTGTCGGGCTTTGTGCTGACAGCTCAGAGCCTGAAGCCCACTTCAGATTCTGTGTCTCCCTCTCTCTCTGACCATCCCCCACTTGCATTCTATGTCTCTTTCTCAAAAATAAACATTTAAAAAATTAAAAAAAAAAAGACATCACACACACACAGAGGAATATTACTAGGAGATCAAAAAGAACGAAATCTTATCATTTGCAAAACATGGATAGAACTAGAGTATACTAAGCTAAGCAGAATATGTCAGAGAAAAATATATGATTTCACTCATATATAGAATTTAAGAAACAAAACAGATGAACCTAGGGGAAAGGAAGCAAAAATAAGATAAAAACAGAGAGGTAGACTCTTAAATACAAAGAAAAAACAGGGCTGCTGGCAGGATGTTGGGTGGGGATACGGCCTAAATTGGTGATGGGCATTAAAGAGGGCACTTGTTAGGATGAGCACTGGGTATTATATGTCAGTGATAAATCTCTAAATTCTATTCCTGAAATCATTAACACTATATGTTAACTAATTTGGGATTTAAATTTTAAAAATAAATAAATAATAAAGTAGGTCTTCCAATGGGGAGGGGAGGAATACAAATTTAGGGTTCAAATTCTTTGTTAAATGACTAATGAATATTTCATCTAAGGCTAACACTTGCATTAAGTACATCAATATTTGGAAGTTTACTTAAATAATTTTGTTTTTAAATTTGGAACTTGAATCCACCTGAAGCTTAAATTCTTATTTATGACACAAAAAAGAATACAAAAGTTTTCCAGATGTATTTATGCAACCGTTTGGTCTTTTCCCACAAACTGGCACTGCGAAAGTCACAGTAAATTAAATTTATAAACAAATATGGATCTACAGTTGAACCAACCATTCTACTCCACTAAGGGATTCAGCCATTCCTGTGTTGAAATCATATACTATTCATTATTACAGGTTTATAGTTTAGACAGTTATCTATTAAGACTACCACCACCTTCTTAGTTTTTTTATTTAAAATAAATATTTCGGGGGTGCCTGGCTGGCTTAGTCCAAAGAACATGCAACTCTTGATCTTGGGGTTGTGAGTTTGAGCTCCACGTTGGCTGCAGAGATTAAATAAATAAACTTAAAAAAATAAAATAAAATAACGAAGGGTGCCTGGGTAGCTTAGTCAGTTATGCGCCCAACTTTGGCTCAGGTCATGATCTCACAGGTTTGAGGGTTAAAGCCCCGCATCAGGCTTTGTGCTGACAGATTGAGCCTGGAGCCTAGAGCTTGCTTCAGATTGTCTCCTTCTCTCTCTCTCTCTCTCACCCTTCCCTTGTTCAAAAAATCATAATGGCAGACTTATGCCCAACCACATCAACAATTCTGTTACATTTTAGTGGGCTTCATATTCTAATTAAAAACAGAAAATGTGGGGACATTTGGGTGGCTCAGTCAGTTAATCGACCAACTCTTGATTTCGGCCCAGGTCACAATCTCACGGTTCCTGGAATGGAGCCCCACGATGGGCTCTGAGGTGACAGTAAAGAGCATGCTTGGGATTCTCTCTCCCTCTCCCTCTGCCCCTCCCCCACTCACTCTTTAGGCATGCAGCATACACACGCTCTCTCTCAAAATAAATAAATTTGAAAAAGAATGTGGTGAGAACAGACTTTCTAAAAAATAATAAACAGATTTTAAAAATGTGTTTTTTTAGGAGAATAAAAACAAGACTCAACAATATCCTGTTTAAAAGTGATATACTTTACATAATCAAAGTGAAACTAACAGGATGCAAGAGAGATGTAAGTCAGAAATCTAAAGTGTAAGAACAGGGGCACCTGGGTGACTCAAGCATATGACTCTTGATTTCGGCTTAGGTCATGATCTCACCATTAGATCAAGGCCCACACAGGGCGCCGCGCTGACAGTGTAAAGCCTGCTTGGGTTTCTCTCTCTCCCTTCTCTCTGACCCTCCCCCATGCGCACACAGGAGAAGGACAGAGAAATAACTAAACCTTAAAATAAATATTTATTCATAAATAAATAATAAATTTTAAATAAATAAACTTTAAAAACTAAAGCGTAAGAACAAAGCTATGTAATTTACAGAACTGCTATATTGGAGTTGAGTACATGAGGACTAATACAAAAAATGTAGAAGTAAAGAACAGTGTGGTTTGATGAGCTTTATTATTACCAGAGAACCTGGCCTTCAAGACAAGCACTACAATGGCACCTAGAGACACACAACACAAGAGTCAGTTCATCAGGAGGACATGATGGTACTAAATGTATATGCCCTTAAGTAACAGAGCTTCAAAGTATATGAAAATACGTAAGAGAAAAAAAATTCACAGGAATCAGAGACAAAAACAGACAAACCCACAAATACAGTTAACTAACATCTTACTCCTAATAACTGATTTAAATAGATTAAAAAGGGGCGCCTGGGTGGCGCAGTCGGTTAAGCGTCCGACTTCAGCCAGGTCACGATCTCGCGGTCCGGGAGTTTGAGCCCCGCGTCAGGCTCTGGGCTGATGGCTCAGAGCCTGGAGCCTGTTTCCGATTCTGTGTCTCCCTCTCTCTCTGCCCCTCCCCCGTTCATGCTCTGTCTCTCTCTGTC